GCACAATCTCTTGCTCAGTTGCCAGACCTGAGTCAATTTTCATCTCTGGAACCACTGACTGAAGAGGTGGCTGTTCCTTAGGGGGAAGGATCTCACAAACCCACAGCGAGTATATGCTATAATAGTTCCTCAAAAGGACCTATGGCCATTTACTCAGGTACCTGTGCACTGGGGAAAAGGAAATACCCAGATATTTCAAAGACTATTGGACCCAAAGTCTGAGTTGACATTTGATTCCCAAAGACCTGAAGAGTCATCACAACCCCGTTAGAACGGCAGCTTATGGGGGTCATTTAATAAATGGAGATCTATCTAAAGTCTAACTTATAGTAGGTCCATGGGTCTCTGGACCTATTAAGTTGTCATTTCCTCAGTTCCCAAGTGCATAGTTGGGAATGATATAGTTGGAGTAACCACCATATTTGGTCCTTGATCTGCAGGGAAGAGCTGTGATAGTGAGAAAAGCCAAATAAAAACCTCTTAAATCTCACTCCATCTCCCCACCAAGATAGTAAATCAAAAATAATATTGCCTTAGGGGTGGGGAGATTAGCACCACCATTAAGGACCTAAAAAATGGGGGAGCAGGTGTGGTCTTTCTCACATCTCAGTTTAATTTGCCAGTCTGACCTCTGCACAAACCAGATGGATTCTGGAGAATGACTGTAATGTAGACCACCACAAGTGGTCAAAAGTAGTAGCCTTGATTAATTGCTGTGCTGGACATCGTATCTTTGCTAGAGCAGATACGTTGCTAGGCCTCAGGTACAGGATATGCAGCTATCGATTTGGCAAATGCATTTTCTGTTCTGGTTAGAAAAAAGGATCAGAAACAGCTCAATTTCACATGGAATGAACAATATTCATCTAATTTTCCCCCAGGGCTGTTAACTCTCTTGCACTCTCTCATAGTCCAAAGAGATCTAGACAGACTGGACATCCCACAAAACATTACATTTATCCATTACATTGATGATTTCCTGCTAATTGGACTGGACAAGCAAGAGATGGCTAGTACGCTGGAAGCCTTGGTAAGGTACACGCGGTCAAAAAGGTGAGACAGTAATCCTACGAAGGTTCAGCCATTTGCCACACCAGCAACTTTTTAGAGGTCCAGGATCATGCCATGATATCTCTTCCAAAGTATAACTGCTGCACTGGAAGGAAGCACTGTGCTTGGTAGGCCCCTCCGAGTTCTACAGGCAACACATTCCACACCTAGGCTGACTGCTCTGGCTCATATGTTAGGTAATACTGAAGGCTACCAGCTTTGCATGGGGCCCAGAGCAGGCAATAGCTCTGCAGCAGGTCTAGGCTGTGATGCAAGCAGTCCTGAAGCTTGGACCACAAGATCCAGCAAACTTTACAGTGTAGAAAGCATCAGTGCTGGGAAAAGGCGTAGTGTGGAGTTTACGGCAATTCTCCAATGGGAGAATCACAACACAAGACTCTAGGGTTCCAGAGCAAGGCCATGCCATCTGCAGCAGAGAATTATATCTTTTGAGAAATAGTTCCTAGCATGTTACTGAGCATCTTGATCATGAGCACCAAGTAAACATGTGTCCAGAACTGCCCATTATAAGGTGAGTTTAGTCAGACCCACCAAGACATAAAATTGTATAAACTCAGCAGCAGCCTATCAGAAGACAAAAAAGGTACATCTGAGATTGAGTCCAAGCGGGACCAGAGGGCACAAGTAAGATGCTCAAGTAAGCAAGTAACACAGAACTCCACGTCACCCAGCACAGTTGCATCAGTGCCTTCCTCCCACTTGCACCTACAGCCATATGGGGAGGGGGTACAACCAGCTGGAGGAGGAAGAGAATGCCCAAGCTTAGTTTACTGATGGGTTGGCTTGGCTCAAATTGTGAGTGTAAGACACAAATGGACCACGGCTGCAATATATGCATAAAAAGAGGTAGCCTTGAAAGATGGTAGTGCGGGAAAATCTTCCCAATGGGCAGATCTGCGAGCAAGGTAACTGGTCATTTTATGTAGAAGTGGCCTTAGGTGAGATTCCTGGGCAGTGGTCAATGTCTGGCCCTCTGGTCAAAGTGTGGAAGGAAAAGGGCTAGATCAGACGAGGAAGTTTGGGGTAGAGGTATGTGGATGGACATGAGGGAGTGGGCATCAAGAGTAAATACTTTTGTATAACATGGTAACGTCCACCTGAAAGCATCTACCATGGAAGAAGCACTGAACCACCAAGTCGACAAAATGACTCCATCAGTTGACATCAGCCAGCCTGGAAGAGGCACAATGGGCACATGGATGGAATGGCTTGTGGCAGATAAAGAGGCTATGAACGACCTCAATAGATGAACTCCCATTTACCAAAGCTGATCTAGCTACTAGGTCTGTGACTGTCCCAGATGTCGGCAACAGACACTAATGCTGTGCCCCAGTACGGCACTATTCCTAGAAGAGAACAACAGGCCACTTGGTGTCTACTTGCCTACATTGGATCCCTCCGATTCCAGAAGGGTCAGCAAATCATCTTTACAGGGATACCTATTCTGGTGTCCCTAGATACCAGAGCCATAAACTTCAGCCAGCACCATCACCTGGGCATTTATGGAATGCCTAACTCACAGGCATGAATCCCACACAGTATAGTGTTCATCCAGGGAACCTACTTCAAAGCAAAGGAGGCGAGAGAGTGGGGCCAACCGTAAGACCCACTAGTTGTCCCACATACACACTACCCTGAAATACAGCCTCATCGATCACTAGAATGGCCTACTAACGACATAAGGTAAGCACCAGCTCAGATATGACATGCTGAAAGGACACAACATCCTTCAGGATGCAGTATATGCATCAAGTCACAAACCTTTATATGGGTCCGAGAACCAAGGGAAAGAATCAATTACCATCACTCCCACTGACCCACTGGAGGACTCTGCTTCGCATTCCTAAAACTCTGGGCTCTGTAGGGTTGGAAGTACTGGTTGCCAAAGTGGGTACACTCTTGCTAGGGAACACAGCAAAAATCCTACTGAAGTACATGCCATGACTGTCACCAAGGTACTTTGCATTTCTTATGTCCAGGGACCAGCAGGCTAGAGCAGTCATCCTCCTGGCAGAAGTAATCAACTTTGATCAGCAGGAGTGGGGGAGATGGGCAAATACATGCAGAACACAGGCCATCCATTTGGTGCCTATTGGTATTCCCTTGCTCCACTGCAACTGTGAATGGATATATGTAACAACCCCAGCCTGAGAAAGCTATGATTACCAAGGGTTCAGACCCCTCACGAATGAAGGCTTGGGTCACACCCGTAGGTAGGCCACCAAGACCTGCTAAGGTGGTAGCTGTGGATGAGGAAAATTTTAAATGGATGATGGAAGACAGAGAGGATGAGTACTAGTTGTGGTCCTTCAGTGACAGGGGATACCAATCATCCAACCAAACTCCCTCTTCTAAGAGAGGTACATGGGAATCATGGAGTTGCTCCCCAAACCTGTGAGAAGTAGATCTGTGTGGTACAATGGGTGCAGCTATAGATATACTCTGTTCAGAATTCCTCCAAGAGAACTGGCTGCAGGAAGCACAGCTGACCGAGTCCTAGCTGAGGGGTGCTAGCTGCCAGACCTCTGGACTCACCACTGCGTTCACGGCAAGGCCATGCTTCCCCAGGGCTGCTCCCTGCCACTGACTGAGCATGGGGAGGGTACTAGCGCTGGCCCATTCTTGCACAACATGAGACTGACTCCCCATCAGCCTGGCCCAACCTTTTTTAGAACTGCACTACAGTCTGAGTCTCTTTCTACCCAGTCCTCCTTCCTTCCCCCTCTCCTATCACAGGAGTCAAGCCTACTGTAGAGACAGAAGGCTCTCCCCACCTGCTCCTGCTCCCTCCTCTTCATCCTTCACAGACAGTTCCCTCCCATAAATCTCTTGCACATGCTTCTTGAAGGACTCAGTGACACAAAAGCTCATGTTCATGGATCAGTATTTGTGTATTTTCTTTGAAACCACACCCAAACTAACAGCAGTATAGGCACACAAGAGAACTTGGTTCACCTTGAAAATCAAGTAATCTGAGGCCTACAATAGATCATAAGGATTACAAGGTAGATGACTGATCTCTTCTTAGCCTTAAGAAAAATATAATGAAATATTTAAGATATCCAAGAAAGCACAAAAAATAATAGAATTAAACACAGCTTAAGAAATAATCTTACTAAAAGAGCTGGTGTCTCCTGTGTATCCCACCCTGACTGTATCCTCCTCCCACTCTCCAAATTCTGATCTTTATCATCCCTGTGTATTTCTTTATGTTTTTACTACAAATATATGTATTCTTAAACGTATTTTTTCTTTGGATTTTTAAAATCTTTTCTTCACTGAAAATGTCCTAAAATTTAGGTTTATATATATAATAGAGTATATATAATGATTTTAAAAACACAAAAACCAAAGCTATGTCACACAGAACTACTTACAATTTAGTGAGATTGAAGAGAAATTATTTAGCAGAAATGGATCAAAGCTACAATGTTGAGAAAAAGGATGTTTTATTATCTTGACTTGACCATAAACTACAATTATTACTATTTATAAAAGTTATATAAATGCAGGCTGATGATCTTTACAGTCTCAAAAACACAACATAAATAGAACACAAAAAACAAATGCAATTAAAAAAACTTTTGACATAATTCTTTTACATGTTATGTGGAATTGTAGGAAGAAGCACTGCAATAATTGCCCAAAATAATATTAAAGGTAACAAAGGAGATGTCCGGTCTGAAATGTAAATTCAAATGTACAGTGTCTATAACAATAGATCAGAGCGAAGGTACAGCTGAAACTTCTAACAGCAAAAAATCAGTTAGTTTGCAATACTGTATTCTTCAACGAAATAAGAAAGCAGATCACACATAAAACGGTGCATAGTCTTATCAGCCAGGCCACCTTATTTAAAGGTAATTTTTCAGGGTAGCTAAAATGACCAACGACAAAGCTCTACACATTTGACTAAACCGTTCGTTATGCTAGAGCCAGTATTTTTATTTTTAGAGTTCGCAAATTAAAATGTAACAAATAATTATACATCAGCATTGGTAGGAATATCAAATATTATTTCACAACTGCCACTATGTGTTTCTTCTTCTCTGACACAATTGGCACAGATCCAGGCTTGCTATGTTTGAGACGATTCACTTCCCTAGAAATAAAATAAAATATACAAGATATAAGCAAGTTTATGAGGAATCACCTTAGCCAAAGAAAACTTTCTCAGAAAAATCACAAAGTGTTTTCTTTCACTGGAAAACTACCAACTGAAAAAAAGGTTTTCACCATGAGATTAGGTAAAAAGTAGCTAGAAATCAAATTTGTTAACTTATTTAATTGCTTCTTCTAAGACATCAGTGTCCTTAACTAAGTTTAAAAGCCTGCAACAGTTATTAAAACATTCAAGTGACTCAACCCCGTATCTTCCCAAAGGCAGCAAAATAATAATCATTTGTATAGTCTAATTAAAAAAAAAAAAAAAAAGAGCTCTGCCTTAGAATTTCTATAATACTTTGCACGAATTCAAGGATTGCAAAGAAGAGACTATTTCACAGGGGAAATGGTGGTGGCAGTGGTGGGGAGCTCTGCTTTAGAGCCAAAATGTTAGGTTCCAAATGTTATGATGAAGCATATTAGAAAAATTTTTATTTAAGAAATGTGTACAAGGAGCTCTTTGCATTCTCTAATTTGGAAAAAACACAATACCCCCTTAGTTCAAGCTACATTAGAAATTATTTTTTATTTATTTATTGTTTTGATTGGCTCTGAGCTAACATCCGTTGCCAATCTTGCTCTTTTTGCTGAGGAAGATTAGCCCTCAGCTTACAGCTGTGACTGTCTTCCTCTAGTTTGTATATAGGACGCCACCACAGCATCACTTGAGGAACCGTGCTTAGGTCCGCTCCCGGGATCCAAATCTGCAAACCCTGGGCCGCTGAAGCAGAGCACGCAAACTTAACCACTATGCTACTGGGTCGGCCCCTAGAAATCATCTTTTAAGCATTATATATTTACAACAGTTTTTTTTAGTATGAGCGGAAGCATTTTCTCATTTTGATCCAAGTTATTTTCACTGTTTGTCTTTTAAATATATTCTCAATGGAAATTGTCACAATCTTAAATGATCACTGCTCCCCATTTTATCAAGAAAAAGAAAAAAGCCCAGCAAAGTCTTCAAAAACACCTCTAATGTACAACAGCACATAAACTATTCCCTTGAAAGGCAGGTGTTTGTTTGTTTTTGGTGAGATGAGAGTGGTAAGTTAGAAAAGAGTACTGAGATAGAGTCAAACGCCCCCAAACATACTTTCGTCGCCGAGCTTCCCTCATGATGCGCTGTTCCTGAATCTGGCTGTAGATAGATTTTGGTAGATGTCGGTGTCGAGCAATACGTTTTATATGAGGATGATGTTGAAATTTTTCCTTCAACTTCTGGTTATAATCTTTGGCTGCTTTTTCTCGTGATGTGAGCTGAAAAAATGCATTTTGATATTTTAATGAATGGTGTGTTCTTTGTTTTGCTTCAGTATAACAAAGCTAGGAAGCACCCTTTCCCCCCAAAACTAAAATTTTATGACATGCAACCAAATGTAATTCTACCCTTTACAAGGTTACATTAGTAATACCAGCTCTGCGAGCACTAAATTTCCTTTTAGGCAGCACGCCTACAATGCAGATAGATGCCACCAAACGAAGAACAGCTGTGCTGAGGGAGTAGGGCTAGGCGGACCACTGAGCTGGACCTTACCTAGGCATAAATAACATAGAATAAGCACCTAAATTAATCACTCGAATTTTTATTCTGTAAAAATAACTACTGAAACAGAAAAGAAAAAGGCTTCAATTCTGTAATAACTAGGCTTTGTTTAACAAATGTTAAGGATGATGTGATTTACAGGAACATTTAATGATGAACTGAAACCTAGACATAGTGTAATGCTTACCAATCATTAAACTTAAAACAGAATTGTCTTTACTGCTTATCATATCTTGATTTTCCTACTGGGGCTAAGTATAAAATAACTCACACTAAGCCTTTCCTTCTTAAACTTAATATTTGTTTCTGATATAAGCACTCTATAAGTTTATTAAAGAAAACACGAGACATTCAGAAAAACATCAAGAACAAAACAAAAATCAACCATAACCCCACAACCCAGAGGTAGCTAGCCAATGATAATATTTGTTTTATCTCCATTGAATCTTTTATAAAGTCTGAAGCCTTTTGCATTTTTTTTTTTTGTGAGGAAGATCAGCCCTGAGCTAACATCCACGCTAATCCCTCCTCTTTTTGCTGAGGAAGACCAGCTCAGAGCTAACATCTATTGCCAATCCTCCTCCTTTTTTGCCCCCAGAGTCCCAGTAGATAGTTGTGTGTCATAGCTGCACATCCTTCTAGTTGCTGTATGTGGGACGCGGCCACGGCATGGCCGGAGAAGCGGTGCGTCGGGGCGCACCCAGGATCCAAGCCCGGGCCGCCAGTAATGGAGCGCGCGCACTTAACCACTAAGCCACGGGGCCGGCCCTGCATTTTTTTTTTAAAGTTAAGTGTTTCACTGTGTCTTTGATATTAAAGACAGGGACTTGCAGCCTTTGATCTGCCTGATTACTATTCCTGTAACAGAAGAAATAGGTGTTCTAAGCTTCTAGTCCCTACATCTTCTCTCCCTACCTTGAGGAAAACATCAGGAATTAAGAAGGTTCAAATATCACCAAACATCTGAATTAACAAAGGCCTCTAAAGGTGCCTATGACACGAGAAAAGTAAATCTAAATACAGCAGTGTCCGTTTTGTTGCTAACTTATTTTTTTGTATCACAACAATGCCAATTTTATCAAAATATCTAAAGCACTTCAAATAAATTCTCTTTACAATATAATGATATCCAATAAAATTAGAAACTGGCTTTATGACAATGAAACAAAATGGGGTCTCTTACCACACCCAATTTCTCAGAAGCATTAGCTTTCCACAGACGAATGTTCATTTCATCAGATCCACACATAATGTACTTGCTGTCGGAAGTCCATTTCACACAGATGACATGTTGCATTCTCTTTGTGTGATAGACTTCCCTATAGAAGAGGAATTAAAGTTAAAACCCTTCAGATTTTGATACAGATTTTCTTTAACCACTGCCTATCAAGTATCAGGATACCATTTTTGAGTCTTAAGAGAGTATAAAAGAGAATTCAAATTCATTTAAATGTATTTTTATTGAACCAAATCAACAAGCTTCTATGCTAAGTCCTGGGGAATTAAAAAAATTCCTGCTCTCAGAGAAGTTACAATCCAATAAGAAAAACAATACAAGTATACTAAGCAAAACTAGATGCCCAGAAAAGTTCACAAAATAACTGAAGGCATATAATACAAATAAAATATGTTGAAGCTGGAGTAATTTTGTAACAATAAGAAACGGATTGCTTTTAATAAGCCTCCCCCCTCCAAATCAATTCAGGTCAACCACTACACTTTTTTTTTTTATGTTACTGGAAAATAAAATAAATGCAATGGCATTCAAAGAGCACGTGCTGGTATGTTGATTCTAATGTCTGATTTTTGTTTTGTCCAAACTTTAAAAAGCTTAAGAAGTGAGACCTGATGATTTACATGTGTGAAAAGAAAGAGAAGGCTACAGAATTGTCTGATGAGTTGAGGTAAGAATCATTTAATAAATGGAGATGTCAAATATCATACCTAGTTGAAAAGGCTGTGAAACATGCTAAGTGAATTCACAGAAGATACTATATTGGGAAGTGTTAAGAAGAGCATTAAAAAGCAAGCAAAAGACAAGGTCAGAAAAAATAAAAAGAGCAGACTTCTGGAGAAATAAATTTTCCATACCTGGATTAAATGATTCAAAATGCAGACTACTTGAGAGAAAGAAAACAAGCTCTGCAAACTCTGTCCAGTAAAAGAAAACCCACAGATGATGACCAAACCAAAGAGGATTCGTATCTATAAAACATCTCTCTGGGGCCGGCCCGGTGGCTTAGTGGTTAAGTGCGCGCGCTCCGCTACTGGCGGGCCGGGTTCGGATCCCAGGCGCGCACCGACGCACCACTTCTCCGGCCATGCTGCGGCCGCGTCCCACATACAGCAACTAGAAGAATGTGCAACTATGACATACAACTATCTACGGAGGCTTTGGGGGAAAAAAAGGAGGAGGACTGGCAATAGATGTTAGCTCTGAGCTGGTCTTCCTCAGCAAAAAGAGGAGGATTAGCACGGATATTACCTCAGGGCTGATCTTCCTCACACACACAAAAAAACAAAAAAAACCCAAACATCTCTCTGAAGTACACTCACAAAAGTGTACTTTTTACACTGTTTCTAACAGATACGTTTTGAGCTCCAGAATGAACATGTAGATAAACCATAAGAAATTTATTTCTAAAAGGAGGAGGATGCTTAGAAAGAATGTCCTATTAAAATGAAAAGTAGATGAGACAAAGACTGCTTTTTCTTCTCTCAATGCTCTGCTTTTGCAAGACTCAATTCTTATAATCTCTACCTATTTAAAGGCCTCTTTTTTCCCATGGCAACACAATAAATTTAAATACTAGGAAATTCAATCAGGCTTTGGTAACCATTAAAAATCACCTGTTCGTGTATTAGACCAGTCAAATCCAACGGTTTAGTCACTTAATCAACTTAGACTCCTCCTTAATGGTAAACTATGCAGAGCTCTTAACTTCTCGATATGTTTATGCTTGCACACATGATGGATACATAAAGCTCACTACAAGTTATACTATTGGGAGATAAACACATTTTCAATCTTAAATTCTTTACATACATAGTCAAAATAATTGTTCTATGTGAACGCAATTGATTTACTTGTTTGCTTAGTAAATATGGAATGAAATCCCATAGAAGCTTACTTTCAAATACTGATTCAACTGTAGTTTTTAAAAATCTACTCAAAATTTATTTTGAAAATACTATAGCCATTTTAAGGTGTTTCAAAAGAAAATATTTTAAAAATACAGATCATTCAAAGCACTGCCTATGTTATTCGATGTTTGCAATGATAGGAAACTAGAGCAGACCACAGAAACAAACTAGAACTAGCTTTCAAGCAGACAAAGGCAAAGGTCAGAGGGAACACCACTTATATCTAAACCCAAAAGGAAGTAACACATATTTAGACTGTGATTACAGAATCTCCAAGTGATATCAGGAGAGAATTCCCCAGAAATGGTAAGAACTCCACACTTCATACAATTTTTGAATAATTTGAGCTTCTTAGCTAGACTTGCATGTAGTTGCCCACATTGGCTTTGGAATAATTCAGCTTGAACTAAGCTGCTGGGCCCTTGGGAACAAAGGTGCCTATACATTCCATTTCTCTTACTCTTTCTTTGTTCTTTTCCCATGCTATGTGTCTGCTTCTGTACCATATTAGAAGAGTATTGTCCTACTACCTTTGGAGGTTCTGGCGCCAAGAAATGATGGAGGGCCACATTCTCCTGATTCTTAATATTTTCCAGAGAGGTGAGAAGAATGGAAACTATCAGCCTTGCCTTGGGCATGACTGAATAACCCCAACAAACCATTCGTGACAGTTTGGAGAATATCAAGTTAGTTGCAACAGCCATATAGGAACCAGCACCATGAGTTCTACAATGGAGATGATGGAATGAAGATCTAAGTCATCAGAACACTCCAGTCAGTATGCTTTTGATTCCAACACCTTTTTGATTGATTGTGACGATGACAATTATTTGCTGGCAATAAATGATGGGTTAGGAATTTATACAGCTTCCTGAAATTAGAGGGGAGAAAGACGCAACTATCACAAGTAAAAACACCAGAGAGTTAGACAAGCAGGTTGGCCATGACCAAAAATGGACGAGTTGACCAACTCTCAGGAGGAGGCTCTGTCTGAAAGATCTTTCGGTTGTAAACACAGGGCTGGGACTAGAGTGAGGCAAGTGAGGCGCCTACAGTGTCAACTTTAAGGAGGCTCTCACTCTCAGGGTGGTGCCGATGCAGGGCTGGTACTTGCACTACCCTGAGATGAGTAACTCCTTGAATTCTGCACCCTAGGCACCTCACTTAGGTGCACCCTAGTCCTGGTCCTGCTGGAACAGAAAGGCAGTGAGCCAGGAGAAGGTCATGATATGCCTTTAAAAACGAACATCATTCTTTCAGAAGGTTCAGAAACCTTCAGCACTGTAGAAACTAGGATAGTTATCATTAAGAGTAAGGATCAAAATTCTCATTATTGCAGAAAATGGTGAGATTTCTTCACTCTGTGGTAGTTACAACACCAAATTGTACGTTCTACAGATTTTTAAGTGAAGGAAGGGTCCCAGAAAAATTCTCTGCTATCATCAATCTTTATGAAGCTGGGTAAACTGCTTTACCAGCTCCACACTGTTGTTGTCCAGCACAGATCATCACCTCCCACCCTCATTACACAGGTTCTCTGTTCCTTCCTTTCTCTGATTCTACTCACTTGTCTCCTTTCCTTTTCTACCACCACCAATCATTCCCTGTTATCTTTCACCAACTCCATCTTCTCCCCAATGAACTAGAATTCCATCAAGCAAGACTAGGCCACTCAATCAAGTATGTATATATGTGTGTGTGTGTATATATATATATATATATGCATATGCATGCATTTATTGTTTATATATATATTATACTGCATTTTAGTTTTATAGGAAAATTTCTTCCAGTTTACTTGGATTTGCTTTGAATATGTTTCCAGGAATACATATAAAGCCTTACTAAGGAACAAGAATGTGTATGAAAGTGCTCTGTAAACCATAGTATGCTATTACGAGAGGCTGTATTTTCCACAGGAGTTAGGTTTTAAAATCAGCCTGTAAAGCAAAAAATTAAACACAGTCAAAATTACCCTTGAAAATCTTAAAATGCCATAGTTTTCTGTAAACTACCTCAATACAATTATATATGATATAATACAATATAGACGTATAATTCTATACCATATTCAGTAATGTATAATATGTAGTAGAGGGCCAAGCTGTACAAAACAACACATGTCTTAAACACTACAATTACACTCAGTGTGCTTATAGGATGAGACACACACAAACAGAGAACAGGAAAGCTGAGTATTCCTCTCTCTCACCTCTTCATCATTCCAGGTCAGATACCTAAGTGGAATGGACGGACAATGGTCCTGACAATTTAAACTGTTATTTTTCTTTTTAATTTTTGCCTTAGGGTATAAGAAATGAATTTGAATAAGTAAGAAATAACAAATGTAAGGTATTATTGTTATTAGTTGCTCTTAAGTTGTATTGGGGAAAAACTTATATAAGTTCTTCATTATCAAATTAAAATTTTTAAAAGTTCATCCTATTTTAGAGCAGTGAATATACTCTGTATGATATTACCATGATGGATACACATCATTATACACTTGTTCAAACTCACAGAATATACAACACCAAGAGTAAACCCAAAGGGAAACTATGGATTTTGGGTGATTATGATGTGTCAGTGCAGGTTCATCCTTGGTAACAAAAGTACCATTCTGGTGAGTGATGTTGATAACACGATAGGCTATGCATATGTAGAGGCAGGGGATATATGGGAAAACTCTATTCCTCTCAATTTTGTTGTAAACCTGAAACTGCTCTAAAAAAAATAAAGTCTTTATTTAAGAAAAGTTTACTATAGGGGCCAGCCCCGTGGCTTGGCAGTTAAGTGCGTGCGCTCCGCTACTGGCGGCCCGGGTTCAGATCCCGGGCGCGCACTGACGCACCGCTTCTCCGGCCATGCTGAGGCCACGTCCCACATACAGCAACTAGAAGGATGTGCAACTATGACGTACAACTATCTACTGGGGGGCTTTGGGGGGAAAAAAAAAGAAGGAGGATTAAGCAATGGTTGTTAGCTCAGAGCCAGTCTTCCTCAGCAAAAAGAGGAGGATTAGCACGGATATTAGCTCAGGGCTGATGTCCCTCACAAAATAAATAAATAAATAAATAAAAATAAATAAATAAATAAAAAATAACTTCCCAGACCTTCTGGGAAAAAAAAAGAGAAAAAAAGAAAAAAAAAAAAAGAAAAGTTTACTATAGAACACTTAAAAATAATTCTAAAATAAAAGGCTTTGCTCTAAGGCAAACACTAAGATTTCATATCAACAAATTATATAAAGATAATACCCTGTTCCATAAAAGAAACTGCCCAGTAGGCTGATGTTTTGCCCCTAGATGATACAGTAGAAGTTGGTACCCCAAGTCACAATGCCTGGTTATGAGCCGATCATATACACACAACCAAATAACCTTTCAAAAAAGATAAATGATGATCAAGACAAGGAAAAATCAAACAAAAACAAATGGTTTATTGGTAGTAACATACCTGCTTCTACCTTTGTCCATGGGAAAGATGCGAATAGATTTATCAAAACTAGCAGACACAAACTCTTTCCCAGTGGGAGAGTAATCCACATCAAGCACCGCAGACACATGATCCATATGTACCATTACAGGAGTGTCCAGTGCACGCATATCAAAAGTATATAAGCTGTAAAAGGATTTTTAATTATTTGATACAAATTTCTATATAGAAGCATATGCAGTACTAAGACACTAGTGAAAGTAAGGCCGTTGGCTAAATAATGCACATGTAAATAAACAGCTCAATTCTTTTCACAGCAGGTAGGAGATAGGAAAAATATCAACAGCTTTTATTATTCCTTAAGATTATACTTACATACTTTCATCCTTATAAATCTCATTGTAGAAAATGTAGAAATTTCAGAAAAGTACAAAGAGTACAAAACTTACCTTTAATTCCATCCCCCAGAGGAAGTCAGCACAGTGTAATTATCTCTAATGTTTTCACTCTGCTATTTAAATATATACTTTTAATAAAATTGAGATAACAATGTATAGAGCTCTGTATTCTGATATTTCATGTTGCATATTATGGGCATTTACCCATTAAATAATCTTTGAAAATATTTTAATGGCTACATATTTAAATATGAGTTAAAATAACTTATTTAAATAATTTATTAATAAAAAATTGGAAACTATTATTATAAATAATTCTTAAATGAAACTGATATTTCAATTTTTGACATTTAATCTTTAATTGAGTGGGACAGATTCAATGAAATCTGGACAGATTCCTACAAGTAGGACTATTAAGTCCAAAGGCATGAGCATTTTTAAGGCTTTCGAGTTGACAAATCATTTCAACAAAGTTGCACTAATTTATACCCCTGTCAGTGATATATAAGAGCGAGCACAGCTTTTCAAAGGGTGTACTAAAATTAGAAAACTATACCTTGTGCACAATTGGTAAAAACAATGACTTCACAATTTTCAAGGTTTAAAAATTCTTAACCAACAGCCAAAAGAAGAGTGCTTCAAATGAGCCACCACAGACAGTGGACAATAGTAATACAGCATTACTGGGACCAAGTTCCTAACATCAAAACACTTCAAGATGATAAAATTAGCGAGAAAACGTTTGAAGAGAAACAGGATATCTACATAATTTCAAAGTATTTTCCCCAAAGATATGTATTAATTACAAAATGAAAAAATTGTAACTTTATAGTGGAGAAACCCTGCAGATACCTCCTTAACGAAGTGATCAAGGTTAACATCACCAGTAATAAAACATATTGACATCATGTACTCGATCTGATGTGTCAAAAAGGGCATATCAGTTTTGTAGTATTTTTGCCAAAAATGCATAATCTCAATCTAATAATGAGAAAACATCAGTTAAGCCCAAATTAAGGGCAGTTTACAAAATAACTAACAAGTTAAGCCCTTTCCAAAAGTGCTAAGGTCGTGAAAGACAAGGGAAGACTGAGGAACAGTCACAGACTGAGCAGACTAAGGAGATATGACAATCAAATGCAACGTGGGATCCTGCGTTGGATTCTAGAACAGGAAAAGAACATCAGTGGACAGACTGGTGATGGAATCAAGTCTATAGTTTAGTTAATAGTACTGTACCAATGTTAATTTCTTGGTTTTGCTAATTAAACTGTGGTTATGTAAGACATTAACATTAGGGGAAGTTGGCTGACAGGTACTATTTTTGCAACCTTTTAGTAAGTCTAAAATTATTTCAAAATAAAATGTTTAAAAAACCTAACACTTCAAAAAGAGTATTTTTTAATACCATTACTACGAAAGGTCTTTGATGTTAATATAAAATAACCCAAATACCATGAAATTCTCATCGAGAGACAACTCACTGTTCTTTTTTAAAATCTTCCAACATAGCGCAGGATTGTCAGCCAAGGTCATACTGATCTTTGAGGTTAAATTTCTGAGTTGACAACTACTTGACAGTTCCTGTCTAGAGCAGTGGTTCTCAACTAGGTTTGTTTTGTTTTTTAAAAATCTGTTGTTTTTTTGCTGGGAAAGATTTGCCCTGAGCTAACATCTGTTGCCAATCTCCTCTCTTTTTTTTTCCCTCTCCAAAGCCCCAGTACACAGTTCTATATTGTAGTTGTTAAGTCCTAGTTCTTCTACGTGAGCTGCCACACAGCATGGCTACTGACAGATGAGTGGTGTGGTTCTGCACCCGGGTATCGAACCTGGGCCACCAAGGCAGAGTGTTCTGAACTTTAGCCACTAGGCCATCAGGGCTGGCTCTAAAAAATCTGTTTTTTTAATAAACTGTTTTAATTTCTACATGAGAAAAAGTTTAAAAATTTATTCAAATCCCAAGCAAATCAACCCATGTGGATGAAAAATGTTTACATAAACAAAGTTTCAAGAGTTACAAGACTTTTTAGGGATCACCTATTCCAACTCTCTCTTTTTTTTTTTTTCTGAGGAAGATTGGCCCTGGGCTAACATCCGTGCCCATCTTCCTCTACTTTATATGGGGTGCCGCCACAGCATGGCCTGACAAACGGTGCCTCGGTGCGCACCCGGGATCCAAACCCACGATGCCAGCAGCGGAGCACGTGCACTTAACCACTACACCACGGGGCTGGCCCACCAACTCTCTTATCTTACAGTTAATGAAACTATAGCACAGAGCTAGTTCCCATGACTTGTTCCAATTTCTACAGTAGTTACTGGTTGGGTCAAGACTTGAACTTGGGTTTCTAACTCATAATGATTAGACTATTTAAAGGGTAATAAAAGAAAGAAAATATTAAAAACATAGAAAAAGGATACCACAGCAAGATCACTCTCAAGTAAGAATAATTATGGTAATCTATCTAACAGTCGCTCCTTACAAAGGATATGCTCTTTGTTTCAGGTGCCATATGTAATTCTTCCCAATGCAAGAAATGAGGAATGGCAGGGATACTCTAAAAAAAGATATCTTGCCAAAATAGCTAATTAGAACAAACTTTAGAAACCTTAACAAGGTTGGTCAGCAGGCCATTATTTTATTGCCTTTAACTTGAACAAGGCCATTTAATTTCAAAATGTCAATAAAGGCTAAAAGGATTTCAATTAATTTGGTTTGGTACTGCTAGTTAATGAGAGTCCAACTGAGCTTCTTTTCAGTATAGAAATTCATAATAGATGTTTTCAGTTGGTACCACTAAAACATCATATTATAAATCCTATTTCTGAGCTAATTTATGCTTTCATAAATAATAGAACACAGAATTTAAACACAGAAGATCTAAAGTTCAATCCAAAACAAACTTCCACCTTCTCAAAAAAACACGTACTAAGAATCTACCATACCCAAAGCACTACAATAAATGCTTTGGATAAAAGAGATGAATAACGGCCAGCCTGGTGGCGTAGTGGTTGAGTTCCTGCGCTCCACTTCGGTGGCGTGGGGTTGGTGGGTTCGGATCCTGGGTGCAAACCTATGCACTGCTTGTCAAGCCATGCGGCAGCAGGCATCCCACATAAAATAGAGGAAGATGGGCACGGATGGTAGGCCAGGGCCAATCTTCCTCAGCAAAAAGAGGAGGACTGGCAACAGATATTAGCTCAGGGCTAATCTTTCACACACACACACAAACAAGATGAATAAAACACTCTTTCCTCACCAGGAGATTAAAACTCCTACTTTAATAGCCTCATCTCTAAAAAGGGGATAACATACATGTCCTATCCACCTTACAGGGATACTGAAAAGATAAAATAAGATAGCCAATGTGAAAAGCAATATATAAGGAGTCTAAAATTCCATCTAGATCAAGAACATAAGGCTGCTAAGTCACCTTTACATGGAGTCACAGAATAATATATTGCAAATATTAAGGTAAAGATTGAAACTATATTTTTTCTTTTGTCTTACTGAAGTAGGAGTGATAGCTGATAACATGACTACATGAGTATCAGCCACCTGAAGAGCTACAAATTTTGAAGGCAGATATTTTTAGTTTCTATTAAAACACATACGGTTCAGTCATTATTTATATGATCTACATCAGAGATCAGCCAACATTTTCTGTAAAGGGCCAGATAACAAACATTTTTGGCTTTGTGGGTCATGTGGTCTGTGTTGTAACTACTCAACTCGGGCATTACAGCACAACAGCAGCCATATTCAATGCATAAATGAGTGTGGCTATATTCCAATAAAACTTTACAAAAACAGGCAGCAGACAGGATTTCGTCCATGGGTCATAGTTTACTGGTCTATATTATTTTGAAAACAGAATATTCTTCTAAGAAGCTCTTCTCCAATTTGGAAAATATTTTTTTCAGCAAAACAAATGACAGTTTTCTAACATATATGAAGGAATACTACCTAGGAAAACATATTTCATTAGTGAGACTTATACAACTGAGCCATTTCTGATAGAATAAGTAAGTTTTAAAAACAGGAAAACTTACTTGTAATCTTCATTTGCTGCAGTAAAAATGAAAGCTTCCATAGGGTTCCAACAAATTGTATTAGTTCTCATATCTAAGATGACCTGATAAAAGAAGCACACACTAACCCATTACTATGAAATTAATTCTCTCTAAAATGAATAAACTTCCTACTTCATTTCCTTTCCTTCTTTTCTCATTGATTTAAGCAAATATTTATTTAGTAAACACCTATTATGTGCAGAGTACTTCACTTGGTGAATAGGAAATCAATCAATAATTGTTTCCTGAATACACAGGCAGAGTGGTAAATATCAAAAATATAAAAGTGCTTAATAAATGGTCCCTTGACCTCAAATAGCTTATAGTTCAGTCAGGAAAATGAGACATATATAAGAAAAGTTAAAATATAAACAATGAAGCAGTAAGTGATTAAGTATCAAATTAGGGGCAAAATTAATGGTGAGCTTAGGGTTAACATGGAGAAGAAAGATTTCAAAAGACAAGCATGATTTGAGTTGACCTGTGAAGGACAGTAGATTACGGTGTTTCTCAAAAGGGACATTTTGGGTAGGATAACCTTTTGTTGTGTGTGACTGTCCACTATAGGATGTTTAGCCTCTCAGGCACCTGTCCATTAAATGCCAGTAGTAGTCTCTAAAACGCCCCTCCCACATTCCCCAAAATACACCTGGTGGGAGGAGTACAACCCCTAATTGAGAACTACTACATTTAGGAAAGAAGAGACAGAAGAAACACTGCAAGTCTAGTGGATAGAACAAAGAAATAATAAAAAATAGCATCTCTGCATCCATCAAGACTTGCAGGTGACAAACCCTATTTAAAATGTTGCCTTACTAACTGAAACAAATGAATGAATATAATACAAATCAGGACGAGATTCTGGAGGGCCTTGAAAATCAGGCAGGCTACGGTTCTTTTCTTCAGCTTAGATGTAATGGAGCGCCATTAAAAACTGAGAATGGAGAGGGGCCGGCCTGGTCGTGCAAGTGGTTAAGTGCTCGTGCTCCGCCAGTTCAGATCCCAGGCACGCACCGACGCACTGCTTGTCAGGCTAGGCGGTGGCAGGCGTCCCATATAAAGTGGAGGAAGATGGGCATGGATGGTAGCCCAGGGCCAGTCTTCCTCAGCAAAAAGAGGAGGATTCGCAGATGTTAGCTCAGGGCAGATCTTCCTCACCAAAAAAAACAAAACTGAGAATGGAGAGGCAGACGGGGCAGAAACTACTGTTTGTTAAACTAGTACTTCAGGTTAGCATTCTGCTAAATGCTTAAAGTATCATGTTTTATTCTCACCAATGTGCTGCAAGGTAGTTATTAATATCACCATTTTAGAGGAAAAACACAGATTAGGTTACCTGCTTAAAGTCTAACACCGAAGTTCATGTAGGATCCTACCACTATTATCACATAAATAAGTGAAATGATTAAAGTGGTACTTTGAAAAGATTATCATATTTATCTAGTCCACACTTCAATGAATATACTCTACTTTTAATATTTCTGAATTTATTACGTTATAAAAATGATGTGGAAACAAAAATATTAAAAAGCATTTCTTTCACATGTGGACTATGACAATGGACTTGTGGTACATGAATGATGTCTAGCCCTTTCTGTACTCACAATTTTAACATCTGAAATCAACTTTATATCCTTTTCTTTATAACGGCACTCCTCTCTTTACCGACAATATTTCTCTCCCTCGTTAGAGTCAGCTGACGGTTGTATTAGCTTTGATACGTAAGTCCTGGAATGATGGCCTGAGAACTAATGGGAAATCTGGCACCTTGAACAGGAAAGTGTTTGTCTGAAGGAAATGTCAGACCAGTACCCATCAGCATGGAACTAAACAAAACTGGTTATGTGAATAAGTTATAAAACTTTCTGGAATAAGGTACTGTACATGTATATGATAATCATGAGGCCTGAAATAATGGAATGCAATACAACCATGGGTCACTTAACAATGGGGATACATCGCGAGAAATGTGTCAGGCAGTTTTGTCATCGTGCGACCATCATAAAGTGTACTTACACAAACCTAGATGGTATAGCCTACTACACACCTAGGCTATGTGGTACTAATCTTATGGGACCACTGCCATATATGCAGTCCATTGTCAACTGAAACATTGAATGCAGTGCATGACTGTACTTTTTAATTCACAAACTTTCAATTCAATAAGTACTAACTAGATACCTAAAATTTACTGGCATTTTGAAAGACACAAAGAAGACTAGATATAGTACCTAGTGGAAATGTAAGGGTCTCTAAAAAGCAACAGGGAGCCGAGAGAATGCCATTATGATCACTTCGGGGTCTAAGAACATCTCTATGAAAAAAAAAAAATTTTAATTCTGAAAAAACATTTGCTTCATATTTTCAGTCACTCGATTTACAGAGGACTGCATTAACAACTGTATAAAGCAGAAAAGAAACTGAAACTCACCTTTTTCAGAGGAGTAGCTTGCCTCATATCATACAGTACTATATTCCTGTCAGAAGCACAACTTCCCAAGAGAAATGTCTAAAAATAAGTATGAGAGTCACCAGGTTAAAAGCCAGGTTTGGCAGCAAACCTCATTCATGCAGTGAACAGATGATTTAATTACCTTTAATGTTTAAGATGCAAGGTATAACCATAAAGTCCATTTTAAGAGGGTACAATTAATCACAACCTCAGCAACCTAAGTCACGCATTTTCATTGTTAAATCCCCATGCACGTATTTTAGATGCCAGTGATGACAGTGTACAATTGTGTTCTATTTTATAACAGAACATATTTTACTTATCAATTCTTCAACTTGGACCTGTTTTGTTTTTCAGTATTATAAATAACACATCAATAAACATTTTCATACATTTAGTTCTTCTTTTTCTAAGGATAAAATTTCAGTAGTAGCATTACCAAATCAGAAAGTATGAACAAATTTATGGCATTTGATATTCAGGGCTAAGTGTTTTCCAAAGAGTTGTACCAACACCCACTGCAATGTGGGAATACGTCAATTTTACTGCAACTGAGCAGCATTAGGTAGTGTCCTTTAAAAGTTAGTATCTGTATGGCAATATTTCCTAATTACATAAATTGTTACCTTATTAGTAGTTAAACATTTCCTTTTGTTTATTAATTCTGTATAAATTAAGCCTGTCTTTTGTCTAACAGTTTCAAGATGTTTCAAATATTTAATTTATTTGTAAGTCAGTTATAAATGTGCAAGGTACTTAGATAACCTTTGGCATTACATGAAAATAAGCCCTCTAGCTACCAGTAGAGCCCTGAATCCCACCCTTTGTAGCACCGTTCCTCCTCACTCATGGTTCCTGACTAACTCTTGGCTTCTGCCTACTAATTACTTCCTACTGCAAATGGAGGAGGAACAAGAAGTGTTATTTGCTAAACAGCTGTATGGCCAGCTAACTCCTAGTACATGTCTGTACAAAGTTCAAATAAAACATCACAGAGCTAATGCCATAATTGTGATCTCTTCTCAATCCTTTCCAAAACCTTCCTTTTTAAATCACTTCCTGAGACTTTCCCCTAGTTAGTGATTCCTCTCAACCTTTCTTAGTTTCTCACTATGTCACCTCAAGGTCTGACCAGGTTCCATTTCTTAAAATAAAGACTTTGATCTGAGCAAAACAAAAAATTCTACCTAGACTGAAAGCCGACTTTCACACTGAAAAATGTGGCAATACTCAGCATAAACTTCTGGCTTTATCAGAATTCTAGGCTTCAATATTTTAACAGAAAATTAATCATTAATGATTAGAGGAGACAAATACACTCCACTTGTTCACAGCAACATGCCCTTTCTAGTAAGTCTCACATAGGATAAGAGATATGCACACCATTTGTCTTTACCATTAAGTCAGTTCATAAGGTTAAAAAAAAAAAAAAAGCCGAACAAATACAGTTGTTACACAGGCAAATTTGAAATATATGGTCGCTAGGTTATCACTAATAATTAATTATGATTTTAGAAGTGGCCATCAGCTCTTCTGACACAGGTGTCACCAAAATAGAGAAGCAAATGATCTTGTTTCTCCCTCAGAGAGGTAGGAATAAATATCTGTCTGTTTCTTTTGTTTTTTTTAAATAGTAACATCATCATCTTAAATTTGGGTAGTGCCTTTTAAAAATATTCACATATATTATCACCTTTCACACTCACAACAAACCTATGAAGTACACCGAAAGACAATCTCTTTTTAAAAATAAAGCAACAGGGGCCGGCCCTGTGGCTTAGTGGTTAAGTGTGTGTGCTCCGCTACTGGCGGCCCGGGTTCAGATCCCAGGCGCGCACCAAAGCACTGCTTGTCAGGCCATGCTGATGCTGCGTCCCACGTACAGTAACTAGCAGGATCTGCAACTATGACATACAACTATCTACTGGGGCTTTGGGGAGAAAAAGGTGAAAAAAAAAAAGGCGGGGGAGGACTGGCAATAGATGTTAGCTCAGGGCTGGTCTTCCTCAGCAAAAAGAGGAGGATTGGCATGGATGTTAGCTCAGGGCTGATATTCCTCAGACACACAAAAAAAATTCATAAAATAAAGAAGGAAAGAAACAAACAAGTATAGAGAAAGTGTGACTTGTATAAGGTCAAAAGCACGTGCAAAAGCACACGGGCAGGAAATATAGTTCCAGCTTAGCTCCACACCAAGCAGGACATACAATATTCCCACAAAGCGCTTGTGTTTGTAGCCTAGTGTCACCTTGGCCTGGCCCTGCAAAACTGGCTTGCCGCTTCATGCCATATCTCACTTTGACAACCAAGGGGAACAGAGGGAACGGAGATGGAGGATGGAGTGAGGAAGATATAGTAGAGATAGATACTCTAGACTAGGGATCAGCAAACTTTTCCTGTAAAGGCCAGAGAGTACGTATTTTAGACTTTGTGGGCCATATGGTCTCTATAGCGTTTACTCAACTCTGCAGTTGTATTGCCAAGGCAGCTACAAATAATATGTAAGCAAAAGGCCGTGGCTGTGTTCTAGTAAAACTTTACTTATAAAATAAAACAGGCAGTGGGCTCACAGACCATTGTTTGCCACCCCCGGCTCTAGAGCTGTAGCCTCCCCTGAGAAGTGTTCATGCAGGAATGTGCTGGGGCAGGGTGTCTCTGACTGACTTCTCAGCAGCACAAGGCCAACCTCCAGGTTGCACTGGAGGACCTCATGTTCCAACACATCACACGATTTCTGTATTTTTATACCCTGCTACTTTGACTTGGCCTTTCTTCTCTCCTTTTACCAGCTTAGGTCTCTGAGAACGTAAAACTTGAATAGCAGGATTTTCTTTTATACCACCTAACATGATACTCTCATGATAACTTCTAAAATCAGCTTATACATGCAGCAAAATCTCCCGTTCTTTCTGCAAGAAAAGGCACCTCTGCTGAGTCTTCTGAACAATGAGTTCACCTATTGTTATGTATTCGGAAAAAGCTCTGGGAAAGATCTGCAGTTCAAGGGCTAGCTTAGCCTTCGGGGCAGCCTCCTTTCCTAAGTTCAGACCTGAATAAACGATAAGTAGTGGTCAATCTCCAACTCTCCCTTAGACTTGGAAGAAACAGGAACCACAATTCAGAGTTCTGAGCAAAGAAAAATATAACTGTAACTAATTATCATGAGGTACAATATAATCAAGCAGATTATTAAAAAGCATCAGTGCCCTTGTCACTTACAAATAATTAGAGAAAACAGTGCTCAATGATCCTTCTGACCTCCAGGAGAGTTAACATTTTCCTAAAGATACAATTATGTCATCTGTGGAACATGAGTGTTGAAGGCATGAGTAAAACTCAAGTTGCACAGTACAGTATTTGCTTCAATTCTACCCCCACGAGCACATGCACACACCCTCCTCTGACACTGCTTAACTCTGGTATCTGGGACTAAACTGTGGGCAAATATGTCAAGATTTGACCAAAGGTATCAGAACTCAGATAGAATCTAAAAATTGACCAAATGCCAGAACACCATTAAAACTCAGAAAATTCTTATATCACATTCAAAAGTTTCCTAAACAGAACTGAAATTATTAAATAATAAGGAAACAAGCAGAAAATATTTCAAAAAGGAACATTACCTCAATTGGGTTAAATTTAACACTACTTATACTGTCAAATCCCCAGGTCATTGAACATATAGGATTGGTTCTTTGTTCATCCCAAATATCTACTTGCTGTCCACATGTGGCAAAAACAGCTTCTTTCCAGTGATGATCAATTCCTGTATACACTGTCTTTAAAAGCAAAGAGGTTGTTATAGATGGGTCTTCTCGTTAATACTTCAAATCTACATAATAACATTTCAAATATATTTATCTCCACTCTCATTTTTTTTCTGAGAAAATCTCTGTTCACGAAGAAACTTCTTTGAAGCCCTTACTTAAAGGAGAAAACAGTACCATAAGGAGTGATGTTTCTTATCATACATTCTGGGAATAAAGAAAAATGGTAACGTGGGATGTATTTAATTAAGTCTGAATACATATCATTGAAGTAATTTTTAAATCATCATTGGGTATTGAAGGATCTTGGAACCAACTAATGAAATGCAAAGGCAATTTCTAAAAAACATCCTTCCACATTTAACACATGAAGTACTGATTCCCAGGACAGAAACATAGATACCAACAACTGGATTAAAATTTAGAGGGAGAAATAAAATTGGTGAGAGTGGCTGCTAATATTGTTAAAAGAAATATAATCTCATAAATTTGGCATTATTCACTTAAAATATGTGATTAATCCATTCAAGTCCAGAATATAGTCTGCCTTTGGACCATATGGGAAAAAAATGTTTGCAAAGCAAATTAAAGGGAAATATTTAGCCAATACTTTAAGCTTTTAAGAACTCTTAGCAGCATCTGCAGGTTTCTACTATTTTCTATTCATAAGGGCAAGTCCTATAAACTTTTCCACAGTAAGAATTAATCCCCAATAACACAGAGATAGGGGTAAGGCTAAATATTTCAACAATCTTTTGGAACACCTAGAGAAAAGACATTTTACAAGAATGAAACCAATTTTGTTTTAGGAATTACTAATTTTTTACCACCTGCAAACTATTTCTATCTCATACTCATACCCCACCCTCCATGTCCCTTTAAGAACATTTAGAACTTCTGAAACCTAAAAAGTAGAACCTAAATATATACTAAAATACTGAAATGACAAAGTGCTTTGGAAAATGCATATATTTAAAGATTAAATCTAATTTTTGAATTTTGCTTAATATTAAAATGTAAGCATTATAAAACCTGGGTAGGCCAAATGTTCTGAATTATACTTAAACTATAACTAAACCACATCATCTGATTTGCAGAATAATGTTGTAAGAAATGTATATGAGAGTTATAAAAAGCATCATATTATTACATTTCTTCATTTCCTAAAGGATTCTTTCAAGTAAGAAATTCTGAGCTTTGTGTGAGATCTATGACGATATAAATCAGACAGAAGCTGATGCACTGTTTTTTCTGATGTTTTACCTTACAGACTTCTTCCCATGGTCTTGCTATATAGGAAATGTTTCATTGCATCCTTTAGCTAAAGACAGAAATCAAACACTACTACCATGAACACCAAAGAACTGTTCAAATTCTTTAGCTGCAAAAGACCTTAATTGCATTAAGTATTGCTTAAATTAGGTCAATAATTACAGCCTAAAGTCTTTGATTTCTTATTTTCATCTTTTTTGGAAATAAAAATTATAAAATAATTTTAAGTAAAAGAGAAGAATTTTAATAGACAAAGTATGTGTCAATTTATTTTTCTACCTTTCCTAATATTGTATGCAATGGTTCTTCTTCTTCTCCAAAGCCTGGTCCATCCATTTTCCACTGCTTCACAGTTTTGTCATCACCAACCTAGAAATATTTATGATGATGATGATAATGAACAACAGTTATAAATTATAAACTTGCCAACATATACAAATAATAAACATCTTCAGTTTTAAAAATAACACATACTGTACTCTTTCAGTATATTTATTGACGCATTTATATCTTACGTTGTTATAGTTAAGGTTTGTGACAAATACATACAGTACATAAAATTAAAAATAAAATACTATGAGTAGAGCAAAAGAAAAATAAAGAGTAGGACTAAAGTTAGGTCATAAATACAGCAAAAAATACATATTGCAATAAGGATGGCATTTCAAATTAGGGAGAAAAATGGGTTGCAATACAATGGTATTGTAATATCAGGTTAGTCATTTAAAAAGTTGAACCAATCTGACACCTGACATAAAAATAAAATTCCAGATAATGTTAAATGTAAAAAATGAAATAAAAAACATGAAAATATTAGAGAAGGCATTTTTATAATCTTGGCATGGATAAAGTCCTTCTTCGCATGACAAAACTCCAGAAACTATCAAATTGGTGGTTTTCAAACTGTGAACTACAGACCTCTGAAGGACCCTGAGAACTTCAGGGCACCACGAGGTCAAAACTATTTTCATAGACATCATCTGCCTTTTCACTGTGCTGACAGCTGCACAGATGGTAAAAAAGCAATGGAGGGTAGAACTGGTGGCATCTTAGCCCAAATCAAGGCGAGGCAATAAACTATGGTCATTCAGACTTGGGTATGTGGCAGATATGTTCAAAATACTGGGTGAAATAAGTTGCAAAATAGAATACATAATATAACCCGGTTTGGAGTTAAAAACATAAAATAATCATGTATGTGATGCTGAACAACTATAGACATACCAAACCGCTGGTTTTAACCGAAAGTAGAATTACAGGGTACATTAATTTTCTGTTTTTTTGTAGATTTCTATATTATATACAATCCACATCCACATTTTAAATAAAAATATTAACAAAGATATGTATTTATCTATGGGAGGAGTGTAAATTTAGCTCCCTTGTTGCAGAAAATTAAAAAAGAGAAGCCTTTCCTGCAAAACAATCCACAGTGGCCATGATATTAAAACAGATAAGTGATTAGGAGAGAAATTTTGGTACTAGGGTCAGACAGGAATTTCTTTTGTTGAAGATGCTAATAAACAGAACCCTTAACAACATCTTTATGATAGACAAAAAGTATTAAATAGGGCTTTATCTTATTAATAACTCTGAATCTGAGCTACTGGTATCATACCAAACTCAATTCTGGAAACAATTCTACTGGGAGCCAGGAAGATGTAATCTAGGTACTGAGGTCTTGGCTGATCTGGCTTGACTCAATGAAATATGTTAGCATTTTTGGAAGACAGGATAAACTGTCATTGAGCATGCCCTCTGTGAAGACTCTTTCAATCAAGCTTCTGATAAATAACGTCTGCAAGCTCAAGACTGAACTTCCCTGTAAATGACTAAGCTGCTCTACACAGTCTATTGAGTATAAGCCTTACTAGACCATCAATCCTGAGAAAGGTTCAACATTTTGTAGAAATGAAGAGCCAAACAAGAATATGTGCCTGGCTAGACTCTCTCTCTCCTTTAGGCTGAGTAAGCTGAAGAAGAACCTGAATGGACCACAAATTGGGATATCATAGATACTAAGAAATTTAGGTAATAAAGGTTTATCTTTTGCAACATTGTGTACTAAACATTTTTTAAAACATTAAGTGATGAAATTATGCCAGCAAGTAGTTTTCACATGTGTCTTATCTTTACCCAAGCAAACATTACTTAAAACTATCTGAAGAAAATGAGAAATGAATAGTGAGCAAGAAACATTTTCAGCCTTCATTCACTATAAGCAGTAAAAAAAAAAAAAAAAAAACAATAGAAAATCCTCTGGTTGGGCTATAACCAGAAGCAGCAGCAACGGGAAGAAGTTTAGCTGCAGTCTGCTCCCACTTCCCACCCAACACCTTCCACAACATACAGTACAGAGTCACGAAGCCTGTCTGAGTCACGAAGCCTGTCTGAGCCCCTAGTGAAAAGCAACTAAAGACTATGCAAAGTAGCCTACTTTGGTTTTTGACAGCAAATAGGTTTTTCCTTACACCAAAATCAAATCTTTTAACATTAACATCTATTCCTAATGCTCCTATAGGGAACAACAACAAAGTCTATTTCCTCTTTCACATGACAATCTTTCAAATATTTAAAGGTGGCTATCAGGTTTCCCAAAAGTCACCCCTTCCCTTCCTTATTCTCTTGCAATCTGGCTCTCGCACCCAGCATGCTACTCAACCTGTTCTTTAAAAGAATCCCCAGTAGCTCTTCCAGCTCTCTAGCTACTCTCTGAGTTTTCCCAATTCCTAGAGTGGAGGCATTCCCCAAGGCTATTTCCCTGACATCTCTGTATTTCTACATTTTCCCCTCACTTCCCCCCACTGATGCCATACCATGACTTCAATCATTATTCTGTATTGATGATGCCAAGTTTAGCTCTGACTTCCCTCCTGAGCTCCAGACCCGCATCTGTAAAGGTCTGACAGACGTCTTCACTCCAATAGCCCAGTGGCAGACCCGCTGATCACACCAAATCCTTTCCATTTCCACTCTCCTCTAAACTTGCTGATACTCCTGACTTCCTCATTTCTGTAACAGAACCACCATCTTCCTAGGCACTCCTCAGTTGTCAAGCCTGTCAAACCTCCAAAATGCTTCCAAACCTAACAACTACTTTCCACTGTTTTCACTCCCCAGTGTTGACTCTTATTATTGCTTACCCAGATTACCCAGCCTCCAAACCGATCCAAACCTCCAAACTTACTCTTGTCAAATTAATCATCTCAAAGCCCAGACTAGATTCCGTCATTCCCCCGTTAAAAAACTTTCACTGAACTCGAACAGATATTTGTACACCAATGTTCATAGCAGCATTATTCACAAAAGTCAAAACATAGAAAACAACCCAAAAGTCCATTGATGGATGAATGGATAAACAAAATGTGGTATATATATACAATGGAATATTATTATTCAGCCTTAAAAAGGAAAGAAATTCTGACACAAGCTACAATGTGGATGAACTTTGAGGATATTACGCTAAGCGAAATAAGTCACACACAAAAGGGCAAATATTTAATGATTCCACTTCTATGGGGTACCTAGAATGTCAAAATACATAGAGACAGAAAATAGGACAGTGGTTACCAGGGGCTAGGGGCTAGGGGGAACAGGGAGTTATTGTACAATGGATAGTTTCCGTTTTGGAAGATGAAAAAGTTCTGGAGATAGACAGTAGTAATGGTTGCATAATGATGTGAATGTACTTAATGCCACTGAAATGTACATTTAAAAATGGTTAGAATGGTAAATTTTATGTTATGTATATTTTACCACACACACACAGCTCCTTAAATGATTTAATACTATCTGAAAAAGGAAGCACAAATTATTCATCCTTAGCACTGACAATCCTCCAGAGCAGGGCAAACTATCTTTCTAGCCTCATTTTTCATTAATCCTACTTCTCAGTGTTCTATAAATATCAGTTCAATAATATGTTAAGAAATTTTTATAAAAAATAAAAAAGTATGGGAAAAGCTGGATTACATAAAGAAAACTAGGACTTTTCAAGGTTTTAGTAAGTTATTTTGCATTGTGAAACTCCAAAAGGGCCTTGGAACAAATAAATGAACTCAGAAGATATTCAACTAGATCAGTCTTATACATGTTGAAAAGAGTTAATGATTTAATTGCATTATACTTACAGTAAAAAAAGAAGTCCCACAAAAGCGAGTACATATTCCTCGTACAAAACCCTCATGGGCTTGTACTGCACGGATACATTTTCGTTTAGTCAAGTTCCAAATTCTAACCTATGATAAAGCATACCAGGAAATTTCAGTGAACTGTAAATATAAAATATTCAGGCACAGGTGTACTACATTCCAAGAAAAATAAATTCAACACTCAAAAAGCTACGAATCACTCTACCAGACAGCTAAAAACAAAATGCTCTGGATCAAAATAATGCAATGCATATGGATAAGTATATCAACAAGTAGAAAATTCAATCTGTTAAATACTCCACTGATTCTAGTATAAAGTGTTTCAAAGCTTTCTTTCCTTGCTGGAGTAGGAAATAAATGTTGAATCATCAATAACATTCTCTGTGGAAAAAACTCGCACTTAAATATCTTTATTGTAAACATCATTTATTATTTACTGTCAAATTGAGCCTTAAGTTACTACTGTTTTAATTTCTTAGGTTTAGATAAGAAACTAATGAATTACTAATTCAAACAGAATTTAGTTTTGAGAATTAAAAGAAAATAAGATACAGAAAAATGAAATCAAACCAATTAAAACCCAGAGCAACTAAAACTAAAGGAAGAACATCTGTAATATACAACTATTTTTAGTTTAAAATATCAACGTTTAGAGTGACACTTGCCTCGCCATCACATGCCCCGGAAAGGACAGTAGCCAGGCTCTTGGGATGCTTTGCCAAGCAATTGACTCCATCTCGGTGACCATCCAGAGACGCAAGGAATGGCTTTGCAAATACCCGTTCCAGTTTGGTAGCATTTAAAGCTCTCATGTATTCTCGTGGGACCTCAAAAGGATGTAAGGTAGGATCATAGTTTCTTGGAACTGAAATAAGAATGACTCCTCTTAATAAAACAATTCACATTTAATATTTTCTGTGGTCTTCCTCAGCTAATCATTCAATAATCCTTTATAAGACACTGTTCTATTCCTAATACTGTGAAGAATACAAAAGTAGAAGACCTTTTGTCCAGAAACCTTTCTAAAGTTACCAGAAAACCATGGAATGCATACATCTTGCAAAATAATGAGACTCTATATACACACACAACTTTTCGTTTTCTGTGTCCTACTACACTCTTCAACTGGGTTGTAAGCTTTCATGGGCAGGGCTTCCACTACATTCTTCATTTGTACTCCTCCTGCCTAGCACAGCGCCTGGCACAAAACAAGGGCACCATAAATGTTTGCCCGACTGAACCCGAAGTTCCCCGTGGGGCAGGGAACACTATTAATCTCCAGTGATAACAATACTGCACTGATAGGCACACAGTGTGGTGATTACCATTACAGCTATTATTTATTGAGCACTTTCCATGTTTGTTTACTTAAAAAACACAGAGTTTACCATGTGCTGGGCACTCTTCCAAATATATTAACTCATTTAATCTCCACAGCACTCTATGGGTTAAGTTCTATTACTATCTCCCACTTTACAGATTGGGAAACTGAGGCACAGAGAAGTAATTTGCCTATGAAGTGACAGATTCAAACCAAGGCAGTCTGGCTCCAGAACCCATGTTCTTAACTATTATGCTATGCTGCCAAACATGTTGTCTCAGTTAACAATTACACTTAGGATATAATTCTAAGCCCACATGTCTAAAAAACCCTCAATGTCTAAAAGTAAACGCATCTTCTTACCCCATGACTTCATCCTGTTGTCTCTTCTTTCTCACTCCCTGTCAACGGCACTATATCCCACATTCAATCAAGCTCAAATGTCAGTCATTCTTACGTATTCCATCCTCCACATTCCCCAATGCCAAAACTTAAAGTCCTGCTTCCACTATCTTTGAAATAGTTCTTATTCATTCTTTCCCTTCTTTTCCTACCTCTAGTAACTTAGTTTTGGCCTTTATTACTTTATATTTGGACTACTGTAATATCATCCTTACTCTATTTGGTGGCAGTTTACACTATTTTCAGATTAATCATCTTAAAACAGCTTTTTACATGTCACTCCCATGCTCAAAAACTTCCAAAGCCTCCCTATAGTGGTAGTCTTCAAACTCCTTTGATTGTGTGCCCCATTAGTAACAGAGTTTTTGAGCAGGTCTCTCCTCCTCAACATATGTATACTTATTTAGTGACAGCACATTATTAAAGATGCTTGTTTAAAAAAAATCTCAATTTAACAGTATGACAGAGCGACTCAAAGGTTTGAACTTTAGTTTATTTCAATGTTTGGTTTTAATCACTACCATAGTTGAAAAGATACAGGCAGAACTCGCTTTGCACAGTACCGTGTCACTGGGACCACAGGCATACTGGAACCAATTCCTTGTTTTGCACGGTTTTGTGGTAACAGCTGTGACTTCAGTCACTGTGAACCTGTCAAAGAGCGGGACTGGTTCAGTTAACAGCGTACTATGCAAAGTGAGGACTGCCGGTACAAGCAGATCCAAAGAGAAGACATCCATAGTTGGCTATGTTTATTTACTATATTTAATTTTCAGTCCTATCTACCAGTTTTGCAAAGGTTATTTCTGAAGTATGTCTGGAAAATTTCCATCTACTCTGATGTCAATAACCGTTCCTACAACTATTCAGCATTTTAATAATTTTAACAGTTAAAAAAAAAAACAAGGGGGCTGGACTGGTGGCATAGCAGTTAAGTTTGTGCACTCGGCTTCAGCGGCCCGGGGTTTGCAGGTTGGGATCCTGGGCACGGACCTTATCAAGCCATGCTGTGGCAGGCATCCCATATATAAAGCAGAGGAAGACGGGCACGGATGTTAGCCCATGGCCAATCTTCCTCAGCAAAAAGAGGACTGGCAACAGATGTTAGCTCAGGGCTAATCTTCCTCACCAAAAAAACCCAAAAAAACAACAACGTAGATCATTCTTTTTACCAATTTTTTCATGTTGGCAAAAATGAATTCTTATACATGACACTTCCATCATTTTCAGTACAAAATTTTTTAAATGATGGAAACATTTCCAAATATACATTTTCAAAATGATCATAGCACAAGATTTTTTGAAAATTAATCACTAAAATGGACCTTAAAGTTGCAGGTTATGTATTTTTTATTTTCAAAATAAAAACTGCTACCCAGTCTTCACAGCCACAAAAAGTTTAGCTAATTTTAAAAATGCTTAATTCATGGTCATGCTCCACAGCTCTTCTAAGAACTTTACAAGGATATTACCTCTGCAGGAAAAAAGATTTTCATGGTCCCTCTCCAACACTTTACAAATTATTATAAAGATTCTATGATTTAAAATAACAGAATCCCCCAATAAATGTAAACTGTGATATGCTACAATATTCTGAAGGCAGAAGCAGGCACACCTTTGTCAACCCTCCAGTCTTTTCTTGGGATACCTGAAGTACCACATAAAGCATGTGATTACGTATTTAACATAGAGCCGAAACAAGGATGTCAGTGTCAGTGTAAGTTTTATTAAAGTAAACATTATTTTTTTAATATAAGAAATATAAATTGAAGTTTTAATTGTTTTTCGCCACTCTGCAATGGGTAGCCTAGTACCTCCATTTTAGAGACCTCTGACCAATGCAATGAAGTTCAAGCTCCTTTCTGGTCTTCCACAATCTGGTCTCAACCTACCTCTTCAGCTCCAAGTAGTACTTGCTGAAACTCAGCTACAGCCAAACTGGTTTATTCACTGTCACCTAAAACTGCCTAGCACTTTCCCGCTCTTGAATCCTTGCAGAAGCCATTTCTTCCAATAAGAACATACACCAACATTCATCCTAACCTATCTGAAACCCATGAATCCTTTAAAAATATTCAGCTTAAATCTCATGTCTTCTATCAAGTTTTTCAAATCACCACAACCACGCCTCCCTCTAAATTCATACACTCAGTCAACAATAAACATTCAATAAATATATATGGAACACCTGCAATACGTCACAAGGCTACGAGGATACCACAGCTAACAAACTGATGGCATGTACTTATGTAGGCTGTTCTCACAGATCTGTATGTTAACGACCTACGTCAGAATTGCCAAGGGAGTTTTAAAAATACAGTTTCCCTGATGCCTACCCTGGGTTTATGAATCAGAATACTCAAATAAATATTTGAATACTGCACAAAATTTACAAGGAAATAAAACCTAAACAAGAATGAAAAAACAAAGGAAGACAACAAATGTCTTTTTAATTTTATGATTTAAAGAGTTCCACTACTTCTATTGTTCCATTTTGCTATCCATTAACCTTTCCTCAGAAAGATAAAGAATAGGAAGATGTTATAGAAAATAAGACCCTTAACAAGATCAGATGACTAATAACCTTCTAACATTGGGATTCTATGACCAGCCAGTCACTCACTCATTCCCTCATATAGACATTTATAAAGCAACTACTATGTGCCAGGTGCTGTCTAAACACAGCGGATATAGAAAGAAATATGATTCTACTCCTCTCCGCAGGCTGTCTGATGGAAAAGACTGATAATCAAAATAATAACCATGAGACAATGTGATAAACACTCTGATATCAGTACAAAAACACGTGATAAAAACATAGAGGAGGGGTGCTTAAATGAGGGGGGGTATCCGCAGGAGATAAGTATGGAAAGGTTATTGTTCAGAGAAAGCTTCCCAGAGGAAGGAGAGAAATTGGGTAAGGGTGAGCGCCACAGGATGCCTGAAAGAAAATGCCTGAAATGCACTCAGATTCGCGAGAGTAAATGTGAGCTACTTGCGGGAAAAGTAGTGACTGGTGAAACCAGAGAGGAAGATGGGACCAGGTTCAAGGAGTAGGGATGATGTCAAGTCCAAGTGACACAACCTAATTTATATGTTAGAAACGTTACTGTCTTGTTACTTAACCTGTAAACATCTTTTGAGTAGAGGCCATATATTTACTTCTTAGCTATGCTCACATATATGTTGATAACTACTACTCAATCAAAACAGCGAAATATTGTTCCAGCCTCGTTCGTCTTCTATCACTTACTCAAACTGACGACATGGCCCTTCTTTTATGCCTTAAGTCATACTTGCCTTAAGGCCTTTGAACTTGTTATACCCTTCACTTAGAATACTCTGTTCATATATGGTTGGTCCCTTGTCATTCAGATATCATAAACTATAATTCATAAGCAGTCAGCATGTTAATGGCGGAACAGACCAGTAACGGATAAATAAAACTCAATTTCATTTTATCCATTCCCAATTCCAACAGCTGTTGATAAGAGAAAACTGATGGCTTTAAGTTTCATCTTTGTCTCTTTCCACATCCCGAAATACGTAATTTTAAGTAGTAAAGTGGCCGGAAGTTAGAGCAGCAGGAAGGCTTCAAGAAGCCTATTTAACTGTTAAATCCTTCAATCCACGAGTTTGGCTCATTCAAGTTCCACTTCTCAATAATGGAACCCAAGAACAATCAGAAAGCAGCACCTGGAAGGAGGGAGGCGGAAGCGTTCGCCATAGAGCCAACTTTCCCACGTACCACTAGAGAAAGTTCTTAGAAAAAGGACTTGAAGACAAGTCTGCTACCGAGTCGCGCAACGGCCTTATTCACACAAAGTCAGCCCTGGCGAAAAGAACGAGCCTGGAGAGCCAGCCTCCCCCCAGCTTTACTCGGTGGAAGCTGAGGCCAGACCCAAGGCTGGAGGCCTCCCTACTAACTAGTCTCACCTCGCTGTAAATCCAACTTGGTTTCGCGGACGTAGTTGTCCGGGTTCCGGCTCAGCATCTTTACTTTCATCTTTGCTGCTGGTTCTCCCCGACTCCACCAGCCTCGCCCTCAGCGTTCGGGTTACCTCCGCCTCCTCGGGCACATGCCACATCCGCTTCTTCTAGACTACTTCCTGTCACGTGACTTCCCCGGAGTGGAAACCCGTCGATCCAGTTGGACCCTGCGGCGCTTCGTAGTTTTGCGCAGGTTGGCCGGGGGCGGTTCTCCAGCGGTGCTTTCTCATCGGCGTCCCTCCGCCCGAGCGGGCCGCAGCTGTGGGCGGGGCGGGGCCTCGGCAGAGGCGGGCGCCCCGCCTCCTTCGCTGTCTGCCGGCGTGACCTACGCCTGCGCGCCTCTCATGCTCCGCTGCTCCAGGGGCTCTCGGCTTCTTGACGGTGCCCCGGCGTCTGAGGCCGCGCACCGCTCCCGGAAGTGGGTTCGCGTCCCGCGTCTCCTGCTTCAGGGCGGGGACCGTCCTCACGGTGGCGGCCACTGCATCTGGTCCCACCTCCGCGGCCCTAGGCGCGGTGGTATCAGCGGGCCCCGAGCCTATGACGGGTCAGGGCCAGTCGGCGTCCGGGTCGTCGGCGTGGAGCACGATATTCCGCCACGTCCGGTACGAGAACCTGGTAGCGGGCGTGAGCGGCGGAGTCCTGTCCAACCTCGCGCTGCACCCGCTCGACCTGGTGAAGATCCGCTTCGCCGGTAAGAGCCCGCTCAGGACCCTGCGCTCCTCCTTGCTGCCACCCCGATTTGGGGGATAAAGACGCAAAAGGAAGCCTTGGTCTCCCCTGTCTCTTCATACTAACCAAGCAAGAGTTGAAGAAGATGCTGTTTGTCCGGGCTCACCTGGCACTAGATTTGAGGAAGGGGAGCCTGGTAAAGAGGTGTGGCCGCCGTCGCCCCGGTTCCCCAAGACTAAGGGATGGAGAGAGAAGTCTGAGAAAAGTCCTTATTGGTGTAGAATGTAGGATTCCGAGCCTGATTTGTAAAATAAGAAAGGGATTGTCACATTTTAGGGCTTAGCCCTCACACGTGCAAATCGTTCACCCTTGAGGGTACTTTGAAATCTTAGGGGAGCCACGTGTTTGGCAGCGCGGCTGAGAGGAAAAGGCAAGTGCCAGGGGTAGGGTGTAATCTTCAGCAGGTGGTTGGGAGTAGGTTTGGGATAGGATTCCCTTGAAGGTTTGTTTTTGGCGTTTATAGTGTGGTACAAGGTCCTGTGAAGGAATAAGTCACTGGAATCCAAATACTATTTTGCTTTTTATTTAGGCTTATTGAATTAAGTGCACTGAGTTAAGTGAATTAAGTATATTGAAATTAACAAAGTAGTTTAGAATAAATTCAGCACTAAATTCTGGAAAAGATAGTTTCAAAGGTCTGATAATTTTACTTGGAAACTGTCTTCTGGCATGTCAGTTTTCTTATTACTACAAGTTAAGTTCTGCCTTGAGGATTAGATCTGCAGAAGTGGTTTATCTTAAAGAGTCAGATTAATTCTATTCCCCAATATTTTGTTCTCTTAATATTTCTAGACTGCTGTGTGAGATACTGAAGCATTAAGCAAAGTTCTTGCTCTCAGGGAACTTAGAGTCTAATTGGAGGCTTGAGACTTAGTCATATAAAAGATAATTCTAGACGACATAAAATCAAGGGCAAAATGAAATAAATCCAAATACCAAAATATGAGTAGTGGTAGACTATCAAAATTATAAATTGCTGATGGTTCCATCAGATCTTGAGATTCCCCGTAGAAAGACTAATATTTTGACAGAGAGGAGGCGAGAAGCCATTCTATGAAGGAAAATCAGTGAAAATTATGGAGTATTATCCCTAGAAGAAAACCCACAAAGGCATATAATTTCCATGGAGTTTATGATGCATGCACAAATAAAAATTATGATAAGTAACATTCATTGAGCATTTACTAGGAGCAAGGCAATGCACTAAGAGCTTTAGATGCGTTATCTAATTTACTGTTCTGAACAAACCTGTGAATTTATTATCCCTGTTGCACAGATGAGGATAATAGAAATTGACTAACTGGCCCAAGTCACAAGTTTGTAAAGACGGATCTAGGATTTGAACCCAGGCAGTCTAACTCTAGAACCCTGTGGCACTTAATCACTCACCATACTACCTCTAGAAATCCCTAGTATACAATGGCTTGAACATGAAGAAAAGAATTCTGGACTTGGCTGCAGATGCAGACCTATATGACTTGGTGTCTCTCTTCAGCGTTTTGTCTAGGAGCAGAAGGGGGGACAGTTGAGATGATCACTGAGGAATAATGGGGTTGGCCTGATGAGTTTAAACAGTGCTGTGAAGCACACCATGCCTGAAGAAAGAGAATTCTTGGTTCCTGAGAAGATTGGTAATCTTGATGAAATGGGGAGAGTATTAGGGCTGAAGTGACAGATAAGTTGATTGAGATTGGATGGGAAGACAAAATTAAAGATCTAGGAGTCAAAGCAGGGCTTTGTAATCATAAAGTGTGGCTGTGAAATGGTGATAGAAAAGAGGAAAATTTAGGAAGATGAATAACTGAAATCAAAATAGTTGATTGGCCATCAGCATTAATGCTAAAGTTTTTATACTTTCATAAAATTTAAGCCCTTGTAATAAAATTGTAATATCTAGTGACAGGGGTTGTTAGTCTTGAATGTACTGTTAAACCAAACCTGGAATATTTCAGTGAGTTCAGTTCAAATTGGAACTCAGAGGTGTCCAGAGTGATAGAAAGATTAGAAATCATTTCATGTCAGGGCTGGCCTCGTGGCTTAGCGGTTGAGTGCGCGCTCCGCTACTGGTGGCCCGGGTTAGGATCCCAGGTGCGCACCGATGCACCGCTTCTCCGGCCATGCTGAGGCCACGTCCCACATACAGCAACTAGAAGGATGTGCAACTATGACATACAACTATCTACTGGGGCTTTGGGGCGGGGGGAAAGAGGAGGATTGGCAATAGATGTTAGCTCAGAGCCTGTCTGCTTCAGCAAAAAAAAAAGAGGAGGATTAGCATGCATGTTAGCTCAGGGCTGATCTTCCTCACAAAAAAAAACAAAAACAAATCATTTCATGTGAGAAATGACTGGAGGAGCTAGTTTAGCATGGGAGGTGGAGTGGGACTTAAGGTGTTTAGAGATCAGCCATGTGGGAAAGGAAACTGCCTTATTGTGGGTTGATCTAAAGGGCAGAGAGAGGTTGGGTGGAAATTACAGGGAAGCAGATTTTGACCTGGCAAAGTGTTGGTGCTCAGAAATGAAACTGGTGATGACTGGAAGTGGTTCAGAAATTGGATGACAGAGGTTAGAAGATATTCCTGTATTGGGTGGAAAGGTGGGATTACGTGATCATTGAGGCTTCTTCTGACTTTCAGATATAATTCTAAATCATCAAGAATGGTGAGAGAGAGCCCCAACAAAGAACGTGACTGAGGTGTAAAAGTAGTGATTTTCTAAAATAACCTGAAATTTACACAATGTTATAAACCAAAGTGACCTCAGTAAAAAAAAAATTTTTTTTTAAATAAAATAATCTGAAAACCTAATAATCCATAAGTTAATCGAGGAACCAAAGTGTCGAGTCCGGTAACAAGAATAGCCTACAGTCCAGTTTTGTATGTATATAGTTTTGCAAGACCCAGTAACATAAATAAACTAATACTTATTGAATGCTTGCTATGTGCCAGGCATGATTTTAAGGGCTTTTTATGTATTAACTCACTTAACTGTTTGTGATTTTTAGTTAGGTTCTATTTTTCCCATTTTATGGATCAGAAAACTCAGGCACGGAGTAATCAAGTAACTGACTCAGGGTCACACAGTTAAGTGTTAGAATTGGGATTCAAACCCAGGAAGTCTGATTCCATAGCATATGCTCTTAGCGTGAAACCGTAAGTAGGTAGTTTGGTATAGCTAAAGGGTAAAATGCTAGAGGTAGAAATGAAAATGATTCCAGAAAGTTAAGAAGCTGCCAGATTGACACATCTTTTATGCCATGTAAAAATGAGGCCAGGTCTAGATGTTAGGAATAAGATCAGGACTAAAGATGTAAAAACTATAGTGCAGGGACGTGATTGCAGCTACTTAGTGATCGAGAGACTTCCCCTATTGGGACAGATTGCCTGTAAAAATCAGCATTTAAAGGATGGGCAGAAGAGAAGGAGGTTGCAAAGGAAATTTCGTAGCCAAAGAAGTAAAAGGAAAATCAGGAGACTGTGGTGTGAAACTAGCCCAAAGAAGAGTGTTATAGGAGGTAAACAATGTCAGGTGCTCCTCAAGGGTTAGTAAGGAAGAGAGGACTCCCCGAGTACACTCTGAGGTCTTTAACTAGGGCACTTGCAGTAATGGGTGGATGTCCAAACCAGACTGCAATGGATTGAGGCGCAGTGGAGGTGAGAAAGCCCCTGCTGAGATTGTAGTTCTCTCTACCAGAAGCTTAAGTGATAGGGAGGCCCTGCTTAGGGCTTGGACATAGGAATTGTCGGGGGCGGGAAGCATCAGAAAGATTGTAAAGTACACAGCAAAACATTTCTTGAGAGAAATGTTACTTGCTCTGAAACTTACCTTGTATAAACTTCATAACAACCTGTGACATAGGTGATCTTTATCCCTATTTTATACATGAGGATGCTGAACCTCAGAAAGATTGTGACTGTATAGCTAATTAGGGAAGATTTCAAACCCAGGTCTTCTGACAAAGCCCGGTGTGCTTTAATCTCATTTCATGGTGTAACCTTGTTAGGTTAATGATGAAGGAGATTGAGTTTTCCTCCTTTGCTTGGCAATAGTAAACAGTCAGTGATTCTTCTTTGCCAGGCTCCATTAAAGTAGTAGCAAGGAGACAGTGAACTGGGCATGCTTGTGTATGACTAGTGGACTGTAATCTGTAGAAACTTTCTGTGAGGCAGTTTCAGTATGAATTTGTAACCTTAAATTTATACCTTTTGACCCATATTAATTCCCCCTTCTAATAGTTAATTCTAGTGATATAATAATTTGTACAAATTGTTGTACAGAATATGCTCTAGAGACCTGTTAGTAATAGCAAAAAAATGAGAAACAATTCACATATCAGCTATGGGGATGGTTGCACAAACGGTAGGATATCTATGAGAGAGAAAACCATCATCAATTTTTTTAAATCTTATTTTTTGGAAGCCTGTTT